AGTGGATTTCGATTTATTTATTTTTTTGGAATACTGCAGCACCACGAACAGATGTATAAGTTGCGATGATAACCACCTCTTTTCTCATTTGTTTCTTTTTTTGGTGGTGGTGGTGGGGGAGAGGTGCATTGAAAAATACAAGTATTGTGAACGGATTTTCTATGTATTGTTTTCTGTCATATTTAAAAGAATCTACCACAGTTCATGTAGGTATCAGTTTATCAGAGTAAAATCATAACCTTCTCACCACGAAACCTTAGGGTCGTGGTTCGATTTGTGATGGGGCTGCGTATGCCCGCTGCTATGTAGTCATATACTACGACTGCTTATTATCTAAAGGTCAATCTTGGTCAAATCTTTCTAGTATAACAGACTATTTCAATCCACTACTGGTCTATCTGTTGGTGATCTGGACCTAGTCAGGTGGTTGGTTAGCTGTTTAATGTGCCGATATCCAATTGTTTGGGGTCTTATAGGTAGGGAGGGGGGGTAAGTATTAATCGTTCAGACTAATGATTTGTTTCCTGTCTCTCCCTTCTTTTCCATGAAAGGATATTTACATATTTGTATTACCAGTATTACCAGTAGAGTTTTAGGTAGGATAGAGAAGTCAGTTGAACCTTCATTGACTGCAATAGCTGGTAATATGTGTTACTCACACCTAACAACCGTCTGTATTGTCACGCAGTAGGTTCAAGATGGGATATGTTTTCACTGTCCACACTAATTCGTCAAATCTTGACTGTTGTTCTGAGTTGTATACAAGGGAAATGTAGACAACCGGTTCGAGTCCGTATAAGAATTGATTTCAATGACACAGATATGTGGACGTATTATCTTCATCCTGACCAATATGCCGAATTATTTTCCCCTTTTTATTTTCTGTTCTTGATTCTCTACTAATTTGACCATTTTCTCTCTGATTTCTCTTATCTTTCATCTTGGTGCATATAAGGCAACTTGAAACCACTACACAATAATTCTACATTTGTGGATGATACTCACAAGTTAATTGTAAGTTTACTGTCGCCTAATCGCAAGTCATAACAGAACACGTTATTAGTCAAAAAGGCTTGTATTCAAATATTCACCATAAATTCAGATAAATTAATGAGCAAAGACACAATTGAGGAAACTTCAACCGTGGGGAAACTGCTGCACTAGTCTATGACTGATATCGTTTGTCTAAAAACTCTGAATTCCTCAACCTTTGTTAATGACATTAACTGCAGATTTGTAACACACCGTCCAGAAGTTAGAGTAATACATACTCCACAGGAAAGGCTCATGACTTTTTCACATATCTATCACAGCAGACTACAGAAATGATAAGCGTTATCAACCTAATAGACTGATTTATTTTTCGATACATTGTGCCTTGTTTGCTTAAGGATTTGACTTTCAACCAATGGTTGGCAGATTTGAACACCGCTCCAACTAGCAAAATTTGGTCAACCAGGTAGTGGTATCATTCGCTCTCATACAATTGGTTTGTAGTTCATTGCCTATCACTATATGAATGTGTATAAGGTTACCGAGTGGATTTCGATAGTCCTACTTATAACGACCTATTTTATACTGTTATTGCATAGTTTACCGTGTTTATCGATTTCTAGCCTAATTCTGTACGGATCATGATTACACTAGAAATTGCGTGAAATTAGTGATCCTAGGTTATGATCACGTAGTTTACTCTCAGATCTTACAGAATATAATTAGAGGAACAAGTGACTGGCAGTTAAAGGCTTTCAAATAATAACTGGTCTTGTGTTCTTTTCACTTGATGATTTCATGTATTATTATTATTATTATTATTATTAGTCCCTTGGGTTCCTAATGGAACATAGGGCTTCAGTAGCACGTCTCCAGTGAACTCTGTTCTCTGAGATCTTTTGAACCTGGTTCCACGACAGCCCACAAGCTCTCATTTCCTCCTCGCACGACCTCCTCAATGTCACCCTCGCCAAGGACGTCCAACTCGTCGATTCCCATGGGGATTCCACTCGAGTACCTGGCCTGATGCGTGATGTCCTCAGTCGGCCTTCTCAGTGCATGGCCAATCCATCTCCACTTCCTCCTGCATATTTGTTGAGTGATAGGTTCTTGATTGGTTCGTTCCCAGAGCTCTTTGTTGCTTATTCTTATTATTCTGGCAATCCATCTGATCTTCAGTAGCGAGGCAGCGTAGGTGGCAGTTGTTGATGAATGTGTGTAGTTTATTGGAAATCCCTTTCGTAACACGCCAAGTCTCTGAGCCATACAGAAGCACTGACTTGACTGAGTTGCTGTTGAAAATCCACATCTTGTTCCACATGCTGAGTGCAGAAGATCTCCACACTGGTTTCAGGCTAATGAATGCCTGTCTTACTGTCTTTCCGATTCTGACTTTGACATCCTCGTCTGTGCCTGTGCCACCTGTAGTTGAAACAGTGCTGCCTAGACAGGTGTAGGTGAAGGAGGTTACTTCCTTTAAGTTTCTCCCGTTGATGGTGATTGGATTTTGTTGTTGTTGTTGGTGAGGTATCTTCATCACCTATGTCTTCTCTATATTCACTTGAAGTCGCGTCTTCGCTGCCCTGCCCCTTCTGATAACTTGTTAGTTTTCGCCTGTAGGTCTTCAAGTTTGTGTGACATCAGTACAGAAGTCATCGTTGACGAAATCCAAATCTTCTAGGTTGTTTTCCGCAGTCCAGTGTATCCCCCTCTTCTCACAGCTGCCCACTGTTTGCTGCATGATGCAGTCCAGTCGACCACAATACAGTCAGGAATATCATGGGGGATAGTAGGCAACCGATGATTTCATGTACTCATTGGCAAATCACAGAATGTGGGGAGTAGTAGAAAATCAGAGTTATATTTTACAGTTATCAGTTCAAATGCCTTAATGTTAAGGCCTATCAGTTTTTTCTTGTCATAACAGTTTTTATAGTGTATTTATAACGAAGATGATACGATGATGAACCATAACCTGAACAGATGTGTTCGAGATTAAGGTCATTGGTGTAAAGTTACAGATTAGATATGTGATATGAGTGAGTTGAATCCAGTGGTGCTCGTTGATGAGTGATAATTGCCTGGTTACTGATTAATACAGTAAAACTGACTTCCTGTTTATCACCTGAATCGATATAGTCGACAACTGAGATTTCAGATGTTACGTAAGTGTACATCGATTAATTAGCTCACTAATTGAAAAATCTGCTCCAATTAAAAACTGTTACATTAATGTTTTATTTGAAATTTCCATTACAAAAGTAATAAATATTGGATGATGATTGAAAGTGAAACAAAAATTTAAATTATGATAAGAGTCCAACCAATTTACCAAAACCATTAAGTTTCTGGTCTACTGCTATGGCAACCGTAAGAGTTATGAAACCTAACTGATGACTAGATTTTCATTTCACCTTCAATCATCATCATTACTTAGACTATGAATAATAACCTCGCCTAGTTAATTAGTTTACTAGTAATAACTAGTCTGTTTACCTCATCAGTGTCGACATCATTATTCTATATAACTATGCTCACATTTTTCTACAAAGTATGAAGTTGATTCGGTATATATTGCTTTATTTATTAATTTTTCGCTTTTCTGATGTTTTTTCTTTCCTTGTGTCTTCATTTTCATTATCTTATCACTATTTTGTTTCATTGGCAGTTCACGTATATTTTACTGTGGTCCATCTCTACCTACCTACCTACCTACCTACCTACCTACCTACCTACCTACCTACCTACCTACCTACCTACCTACCTACCTACCTACCTACCTACCTACCTACCTACCTACCTACCTACCTACCTACCTACCTACCTACCTACCTACCTACCTACCTACCTACCTACCTACCTACCTACCTACCTACCTACCTACCTACCTACCTACCTACCTACCTACCTACCTACCTACCTACCTACCTACCTACCTACCTACCTACCTACCTACCTACCTACCTACCTACCTACCTACCTACCTACCTACCTACCTACCTACCTACCTACCTACCTACCTACCTACCTACCTACCTACCTACCTACCTACCTACCTACCTACCTACCTACCTACCTACCTACCTACCTACCTACCTACTACCTACCTACCTACCTACCTACCTACCTACCTACCTACCTACCTACCCCTACCTACCTACCTACTACTACCTACTACTTACCTACCTATCTACCTACCATTATTGTGATGAACAGTCTATGCTGATGGATTAATGAATTGAATGAGTCTACTGAACCGTTTAGTGAATGTATAATAACGAGATGTTAGCCATAACACGAAGGTGTGTTTACAAGATGATTTCATTCAAGACATTGTTGACACAATTCTCATTTATTCACCTTAATAATGTAAACTCACTAAAATAAACTGCCTTCCGAATTGAGCCTTTATTTCAGATGTATCTGTTCATTTCATGTCAATAAATCAATCATTGTTTCCAATACTGTTCTGTTTATCGAAATTTCAATGGTCAGTAACTGTCATACAATAATAGGTGTAACTTTTTGTCCATCGGATGAAACGTGCACGTTTGGTTTTAGATCCCGTTTGAGCTGTAAAAGTTGTGTGATAAACAGTTTGATTTGAGTAAAAACTTTTTTTCTTTCAGATGATTTTTGAAGGTGATACAAGTTAAGAGAGTTTTTGTTACGTAAACTTTGACTCATGTAGGTTATCTGGGGACCCTGTGGTTTGGCAGGCTACTATTATTGATACTGAGTGATGGAAACGTGGTTGATGAAAGTTTGAGTTATAACTGGTTCATATCCTAAGACGACTGAAATCTTCCTACCAATTGCATATTACTCTCTGATCATTGGTTTGAAATTTAGTATAACTTCAAACTTCAGTCTATTTGGAATATAGGCTATTCACTTTCTTCAACAGTCCTCCAGCTTGTCAATGGTCAACGAAGATAAAATAAATCCTGGAGGTTATCACTTTTTACTTCATAAACTTTCTTTCCTATCGATCTGTTTATTTGTAGGCATGTGAGAACGGTCGAGGAGCTGTCTTATTATCGGTTGTTCGTGGTCGCGTTTCTGAGGGTATTGATTTCGGTGAGTTCTCGTTTCATCACCTTTTTGATGTCTTCTTTGTGTGTGTGCGTGTGTATGTATCAAGTTGAATCGAAATATTCTCAACAACCTTCTACACATTCGTGCAGTAGGCAATAAGCCACACATATTATGCGAGGGCTAAAGATAGATACTCACTATCTGGCAGCCCAAGCCACCTCGGTAGGTGAAGGGGATTTCGAACCCATGACACACTGGTTGGAAATAAATCGCCTTAACCAATGAGTCAGCTCCGCTCAGTCTCAGTGACAGACTTATAACTCGCTGGAGTACATCCAACTGATGAGACCTAAATAGGACGAAACGTCTGTCGTGGATTCCACTGCAAGTCACCGATATTAATACAACATACCCATTGCATTTGAAGACTTCAGTTCAGTACGAGAAACACCTCAAGTTGGAGAATGTGTCTTATTCAGTCGATGAATAACAACAAGCAAAGAACACTTGATCAAGAAAATTTCATTTCAATCGCCATATTCCTAGCCTAATTCTAATAGTAATAATAACCACTTTATCCTCACCACATTTTTTGATGCATTAGTGATCGATAGTGGCTAGCGGTGGAATCCAGCTTGACGTGTGTCTCGTCTTATTTAGAACTCAGCTATATGTACCTGCTGGCTTCCAGTCAGCGATGTTCTTCGCATTACGATAAGCAACAATATGTGATACAATTCGAAATTCTCAGCAAAAAAAATGTTGAGACAAACTATATACACCTTTCACCTCACATATGATGCGTGTTAGGTAAAGGAAAGTCACCTATATGATCTTACAGTCTGAGGAGATATAAAGAGAAAGAAATGTGAATAATAAAGTGGATACTCAGTGTCAGTTGAAACTACTGTAACTAAGTTACCTAGTAGAATTTAAATGTCCATCGATCACGATGTTAATCAGACGAGCCAGAGGTACACCATTCACTATACTGACGACTTTCAAAGCCTCCTATGCAATATAACACAGTGCCTTTTAAGTAGACTAGTAAAGATCAACGGGAACAATAGAGAAGAATAGGTGAAATGCAGGAGCCGCTTGACTTAGACTTCTTACTTGTTGGCACTCGTCAGCAACGCTTATCTCCAACCTCTATGGAACTTCTGTTCCGCTTGACATTTGAACTTGCGTCACACAGTGTTATAGCTACTAATGAGCTGTTCGAGGTGTGACTAATGTCTCGTAGGACTCGGTTAGATATACTGATTGGTCACTGGTTAGCAGGGAATTTTATATCGTCCAGTTCTGTGTTGATCGAATTGTGTCGATCAATTTTACAATGTGGCTATCAAACTGGATGGCTCAGCATCGCAGTGCACATTGATAGATTTTAGTAGGTTGAAGGCAATCGGCAGAAAATCCTAGTTTCGTCTTCATCCCATAGTAAGTTAAGCGATATAAGTGCTCTTGTAAGTCAACAAAATATGAGACAACCAACAAAGATGTGATGAAGAACTGAATTCAAGCTGGTAAACATTCAATTTGCATTCTATAGTAATATCGTGAATACTTCAGGAGTCATAGAACTGAAGCAGCTGACACAAGTATTGTTTACACCCGAGGCTAAAGTTGACAGTCTGACATTCGGAAGAGTTTCGATTGAGACCATTTGAGAAAGACTACTGACCAATTTCAGATGATACAAAAATCATTGAATCGAGAGCGATCTAGGTGACACATTTTTTCTGTTTTTTTTTAATGTCTCTATCCGTCTACAAGTTATATTTTAGCCTCAGGTGTGGGAGCTGCTTAAACTCCATGACTCCTGTTGCAATACTGATGGTATTTCTGCAGAAAGTCTAACTTTATGACTATCGTTCTAACCCGTTTATAGAGTTTCAGACTACCTGACTGGGACCCCCTCGAGAAAGGATAGTCACCGACGGTTGAAGACTTCTGAACACTGGGTAATAATGATTGAAGGTGAAATAAAAATTTGGACGGCGGCTGGATTCGAAACACCGACTATCGAGTTGTCGTCCCGATATTCTACCAATTGATCTACGAGGTCCGATTGCTGACCAAACTCTTATTTATTTCACCTCAATCACCAAGTGTTTATCCCAACTACCATATAATTACATGACATGTTGCTATCGCTTGATCGTATTCACACTGGGGTGCCCAATCCAAGTTTGACTGAATTATAACGAGAGCGAAAGCATCATATTGATTATCAGTTCGACTATCTGAGATATAGCCATGAAGCTTGGTAGACTATTATTGATACTGGCTGGATGATGATTGAAAGTGAAATGATAATTTGGATCACAACCGACTGAAAATCATTCACAATGGCACAGATGAATGTATTCTTTGTCATTTTGGAGATATTGAACTTTTTCCTTCACTTTATATTGATATATCCTCTCTCCTATCCATTCACTTTTGCCTATCCTAGTGTGAATTGTATCACCTTGAAGTAACACAGTTCTATCTTGCATTAAACTGAATATGAAGACCTGAAGATTGTTGATTCAGTCCATCTTGCCGGTTTTTATTCGAGTTTTCTTCATGTCATCTTCAATTTGAAACCTATTATTTCCTAGTAAGAGATGTGAACAATACCGTAGTTTACAAACTATGATATACATAGATATACAATTATCGATAGAAATCATCTTTATTTATCGATTTTTAATAGTCATACCACCGGTATATATATATATATATATATATATATATATATATATATATATATATATATATATCGGAACAGGCAGGCTTCAGGAAGTACAAATCATGTGCCGACCAAATTGCAACGCTTCGCATCATCATAGAACAGAGCATAGAATGGCAATCAGCTCTCTACCTCAACTTCATCGACTTTGAGAAGGCCTTTGACAGCGTCGACTGAGAAGTAATTTGGAAACTGCTTCATTACTACGCACTACCGCAAACCTTTATCAGCCTCATTCAACAACTATATGAAGATGCCACATGCCAAGTAATTCACAATGGGAAGCTCAGTGATGCCTTCCAAGTGAAGTGAAGTGAAGACAGGAGTGAAACAAGGTTGCCTACTATCCCCCATGATATTCCTTATTGTGGTGGACTGGATCATGCAGCAAACAGTGGGAAGCGAGAAGAGGGGGATACACTGGACTGCGGAAAAGAACCTAGAAGACTTGGATTTCGCCGATGACTTGTGCCTGATGTCACATAAACTTGAATATCTCCAGGCAAAAACTAACAAGTTGATAGAAGAGACAGCGAAAACGGGACTTCAAATGAATATAGAGAAGACAGAGGTGATGAAGATACCGCACCAACAACACTAACAACAACAACAACAACCAACTCCAATCACCATCAACGGGAGGAACTTAAAGGAAGTAGTCTCGTTCACCTATCTAGGAAGCACTGTTTCAACTACAGGCGGGACGGACGAGGACGTCAAAGTCAGAATCGGAAAAGCAAGACAGGCGTTCATTAGCCTGAAACCAGTGTGGAGATCTTCTGCACTCAGCATGCGGAACAAGATACGGATTTTCAACACCAACTCAGTCAAGTCAGTGCTTCTATGTGATGGTTCAGAGACTTGGCGCGTCACGAAAGGCATTTCCAATAAACTACACACATTCATCAATAACTGCCACCTACGCTGCCTCGCTACTGAAGATCAGATGGATTGCCAGAATAATAAGAATAAGCAACAAGGAACTCTGGGAACGAACCAACCAAGAACCTATCACGCAACAAATATGGAGGAGGAAGTGGAGATGGATTGGGCATGCACTGAGAAGGCCGACTGGGGACATCGCGCGTCAGGCAAGGTACTCGAGTGGAATCCCCATGGGAATCGACTAGTTGGGCGTCGGTGCCGAGGGTGACATGGAGGAGATCGTGCGAGGAGGAAATGAGAGCTTGTGGGCTGTCGTGGAGCCAGGTTCAAAAGATCTCAGAGAACAGAGGTCACTGGAGACTTGCTACTGAAGCCGTATGTTCCACTAGGAACCCAAGGGACTAATAATAAAATAATAATTATATATATATATATAGGTAAACAATATCGCAATATGATTATGGTCATTATGGTTCTATTGTTAACTGTGAATAATTAAATAGGATCAGTATACATTTTTCACCTTTTACCCAAGGTAGGCAAATATCGAATCAAATAACCAATTAAAGTCAATTATTAAGTAATAAATTGAGGACTAGATGATGATCTATTGTGGTGTCAATGTGTTTGTGTGTGTGTCGATTGGTAGACTATTTATTGTCGGTATAGTAGATTAGTAGTAGTAGTAGTAGTAGTAGGTCATTGAACTTGTTCATTCTTGTTTTCAAAGAGGAAACTCTTTGCTTGACTGTTTACTGTAAGTGTTCATTCCACGAGTACAATTATTGACAATTAATCTATCCTACCCTATTTACTACGTTAATGATGTGAAATGGATCTGGCCAAGCTTGTCCATTTTATGTGCGCTGTCCTAGTCGCATTGTTGCTGTAACTGCTGACGTGTACTAATATGTACAAAACCTTAGGTGATCATGACCTCCCTTGACACTTCTCTCATCAATCTAACATCTATAAAAATATACCACTATGGTGAATCTTGGTGAATTTTTCGACGTGATATCATTTCTCTTAAGGTTACTGATGAATGCCAAACAGTATGAAGGTTAGATTACAAACAACGCTTCCTATCAATTGCCCCTTAACTTGTAGACCACACTTAGCTAACGTCCAGTAATTCATCGTCAGTGTTCATATTCTTTTTCTACATTTCAGATCACCACTTAGGTCGTTGTGTAATTATGTTCGGTGTACCCTATGTGTATACTCAGAGTCGGATATTCAAGGTGAGAATATTAAAGTTGATAAAAGATAGATTAGTTGTGTTTTACTTCCTTTTCATTGTCTTTCTTCATGGCTAACGTTTCGCTATCCGACTTGAAAACCTAGCTGATAACAGTATTTCTGATAAGTGGGTAAAGAGGCAGAAGACTAGTCTGGTAAAGGACTAGTCAACATGTACTTTATGTGAATCACGTCTACAGTTAGACTGACAGACGATCGGTCAGCCAATCAAAATTATTATTTTTGAATGAGGGACCTTATATATGTATATACTCTTCGGTCTTCGACCCAGTTGCACCTCTACTATCTTCTTCATTAATTATTCGAGTCGAGAGTCAACTAGGAAGTTGTTGAACGACATTGGTGGCTGATAGACGACAGCTGTGCATTGTTAGCGGTGATAACAGTTTGAAATCATAATAGTTTCACCTGATGAAAGCAAGTGACTCGATAATTATAAAGGCTTATATGACATTATAAATTGTGCGCACGGCTAGTTTACACACACACACACACACACACCTCTTTCATATTGAAATTTGAAGCACCAGTTTGAAAATGATAACCACTTTATAAAGATGTAAGTGCATGTGGTCGGTAGTTGTAACCTCATTAACTTCAGCGCAAAGTAGTACTGATACACCTTCGCATCTCCAAAGGAATTTCTTCACACACACATCGCTGCTGACAATTACATTCTCTAGTTCCAAGATTTCCTAATGATTGATGACTGATACCATTTGAATAAGAGGTGTTGCTCTTCTGTCTTAGTAGCCCAATTGACAGCTTCTCTGTCGTTTGGAACGATAGGTAATTGATTTTAGTTCCAATGAGAAACACCTTGTAGCACTTGAGCTGCAAATAACACGAAACACGTTTCTAGAATCTTACAGCCAACTACCACCAAGCTAGTTCTGTTCAAACGTCTATTTTCTAGTCTTTCTTTGATCATTGTCAGTCATTTAGGACGTTGTTTGACTGTAGGGCTATCGAGGAACAGGCTTTGAAAGTAGGCGAATCGTACAAATAACCTCTCTGTATCAATTGGTACCCACTGTGGAAGCTTATTGTGGTTAGCATTTGTCATTCAACTTGTATCAGTATCCCCCCCCGCGCATCTAATATGCTAAGGAAAACCTAAGATGTGTCTCTGTTTGACGTATATTCTTTTCATTATTTCATTATTTTGTTTCTGAAGAAAAAAACTTTATTATTATTATTATTATGGTTAGGCTCGTTAGATTTCCTTCGTGAACAGTACAATATTAGACCGAATGAATTTATCACCTTTGATGCAATGCGTCATGCTGCCCAGTGTTTAGGGCGTGCTATTCGTGGGAAATCAGATTATGGAATTATGATATTAGCCGATAAAGTGAGTTTCACTGGTTCATTATTAGAAGATTGTTCCACTAATTCTCATTGTTTTGATGCAATTGGATATTTTTGCTGAAGAAGGTAGGACCAAGGCGGAACTTATATATATATATATGTATATATATATATATATATATATATATATATATATATATATATATATATATATATATATAAACCTTGGAAATCTATGCACATGGATAGACTGTGGTTCATTGTACTAGTTACAATTACGTCTAGATGGTTAATCGATGGTTTACCACCGATCCATTGTGTTACTAAGCATCGACTCAGTTAGACAGCTAGTGTAGATCAATAGGACACTTGATTAGTACTACTTAACGATCCACGTTGCCACAGGTGGATAGAAAAAGAATGATACCAAAGTAGACAAAGTTGTATGAGAGAATAAACAATGTGAAGATAACTCTTAGTGTGAATATTCAAGTCGAAGAGTGGATACATCTGAGCTATTGTGACCGATTTTTAGCCATGTCAACAAGAGTCAGTACTCAACCACTGATTGCTATCGTCTCGAGGACTCCAACTAGACAGTCTACATCTCCCTACACAGCTCAAACAACTGGTCAGGAACTTTATCGACTATTGTCATGTGTTGGTCTTGCCACCCTGAATCCTCTTCCAATCCAGCTTCCCTCACAAACCGTGGCACTTCAAAGTAGGCGGTGACTGGGTGTGCGCAGAGCATGTCCAAATCACTTCAGTCGATGAATGTTGACAACCTCATCAATCGATTTGCTTCTCCTGCATAATATCCTCCATCTGACCTCAACACTGCTGACACGGTGATCCCACTAAACACAAGCAAGCAAAAGTCATATGAAACGAGAAAGGTTATAATGTTAAGCATGAAAATAATGTCGGGATCCATACACGTCACTTCGACTGATTCCAAGCTACATTATCTGGTGTCTGTAAGGCTAAGCTATGGCTCAATAGTCTAAGCACTCAACGTTGTTACTAGTGGGTCACGAGTTCGAGTTCCGCTTCGCCTACCAGGGATATAACAGGCATGAATCCTTATGGCCTTTTTGTCATAGTCTTCAATCATGGATTTCGGTTCTTCTTTAAATCTCAGGTTGATTGTCTACATTTTCCTACACAGCTAAAATAACAGTTCAGTGATTTCATGAAGTGATATTTATTTCAGTCTACACATATTTACCCTTTTTTTTCCAGTGTAAACCTACTTCTGTTAATTATGTACAGTAGGATGAATGACTCTATTAGTTATGCCTAAAATATCCTGATCCTGATTGTATTTCACGGTCATATAGCAGTAGAACACAATAATCAATTGTTCAAAGCCCTCAAACTGCCTGTTATTTCCTGGGCTGGGATTTTTTAATGGAATGTTGTTCATATACTTCAAAATAAATGAATGTTTCTTGTAATATTTATTTAGTCCTTCCATTTTCTGTATCTCCTCATACTTTTGTTTTCAATTCTCTTTCTTGTGTGTTGTTGTTGTATCTATCTATCACTTGGTAGAGTGTCTGTTGAAGCTATGGAGCTATGACTGTTGTCTTGTTCTCGTCTTGTATAAATTCATTTGATTTTTGCTCGGTAAACAATACAAGTCTTTAAAGATGTGTAGTTCGAAGTGATTACATGATTGAACGCTGACGAGTATACTGTCCCAGTATATTACTGTCAACTAGTATTGGTGATGGTACTGTAAGGCAATTCGGTTTACGTCATGAGTTTGAGCTCCGCTTCACTTATTTAGGTATGGTCAACGAGGTGACTAGATGCGTCATGCATATAACTGTGTTACTGTGAAACAAGATAAGTGAACATTGAAACTTCTTGAAACCTGTTGGTATTCAATTCGTTTCCTTTGTAGTCAATGTTCTCGTGTACTGGAAGCCTTATTACATCTTATACAGAGGTTAGGTGGTATAGAACATCAGATCATTTTACTTATTATGACTTATCTAGTAACCTTATGGATTCTGGCTGGCTTTCAGTTGATTCCTCACTCATATACATATGGCGTATAGTAGTTTGGGAACAATAATCACCTGATGAAGGAAATCGATTATTGTGGATTATTTTGTTTTTATCTTATGAGATCGACTGTTTCATTTCGATGAGAAGAGATAATTCAGCGAAGAGAATTCGCTTTTTCGACTATATCCTTCTTCTACAGCTGTACAATCATGTTTATATTATATAGCATAAACATGTATACCAGTCTATTATAAAGCAATAGGGTATAATTACATCACTAAGCTACCTAGTGCTAAAACAAACCAGAATGAAGAATGCAAAGTAGTTGCGTAATAATCTAGGACAGTAGAAATATCGAGGAAGGCAAGGAGCACTGGATAGCTGTTTCGTCCAACTAGTATAGGACTCCTCAGCAGTACGCACCACGACCCAGCTAGGGGTGGAACTCAGGACCTTCAGGTTTGACGGCGAACGCGTTAACCATTCAGTCACTGGGTAAGTCGGTTTAACAAGTGGTTCACAATTTCCAACTTCTGTCAATTCATGACATAGCGCGATTGTCACCTAAGGTCTTCAGTTAGCATCCACTTCACTTCCGACTGGTGGTTGACTCCAAGAATCAAAAGAATCTGCACCAGTGATACTATTGACAAAGAATTAGATAAACTACGGAAGATTCTCATGCAAAATGGATATCCATCCAGATTTATCGATAAGAACTTGAAAGTAAATCAGAATACGGAGCGAGTACTTACAGTTCCTAAGAAGACCTTGTTTATAAACGTTGTTTTCAAAGGCGATAAGGCAGCAGAGATCCTGAAGAATAGGCTGGTCAGATAACTGAAGAAGACATTCTTCTCTGCAAAACTGCAGATGAGCTTCTCTAGTCAACATCTCATTCCGGAGTGCATTAAGGACAATTTACCACTTTGGTCCACCTCGATGTGTGTCCACAAATTTACTTGCTCCTGTGGAGCTAGTTATATAGGCCGCACAAAGCGCACGCTTTCCAAACGTGTCTCGGAACACTATCCTGCATGATTGTCAAGGTGAGAATGTAAATCAACTGACAGTTCAATTCTTGAACATTTGGTCAACTCTGGACATATATAGGTCGACCAGAATCTTCCTTCAATGTCATTTATCGTGTTAGATGGAATAGTTCAAAAGAAGTATGCCTTCGACAGTTGTGCACAATGGAGGCATTGGCGATTCATCAATTCAAGCCTGATCTCTGTGTGCAAAACAAGTATGTTCAATCTCTCATCATACCATGGTCTTAATACTTTCATTTTTTTCGATTTCATTACAATTAGTTAGTTTACTGTTATTATCACCTTCATTATGACTCTTGTCTCATTCTTCACCTCCTATCTATCAAGTGGACACTCAATATTTGCGTTTCTTATCTACCAACAATTTTCACCTTGTCAAACTCCTCGCCTTCCTCGATATTTCTACTGTCTTAGTTTATTACGCAACTACTTTGTATTCTTGATTCCGGTTTGCTTTAGCACTAGGTGGCTTAGTGATGTAATTATACCTTATTGTTTTATAATAGACTGTTATACATGTTTATGCTATATAATATAAACATGATTGTACAGCTGTAGAAGAAGGATATAGTCGAAAAAGAGAATTCTCTTCGCTGAATTATCTCTTCTCAATAGCCATCGATGTCATTATTGTGTAGTTGACCTTTATAATACTGCAACACCTTAAAAAAGTTAACCGTCCGAACGGTTCAACATGACAGATAAACCTGATCAACACAATTCAAGAGTATCACAGCTGATGACATTAATGAATAAGAAGAATATTTCACAGGACTGAATAATCTAGACACATAATGATAAGTAAGTGTACTTCAGTGTCGTAGATGTGAAACACTCAAGAGAGGTGGAGAAAAACTGGAGCATACATTGGTTGAGAAGTAGACCTGAAATTCAGTCACTTCAACTCTTGAATACAAATCATTTGGTAAGGGGTTAACAACGCATGCAGTCACAACAATCACCTCGAGCGGTTAACTTGAAAACGTTGAATATGGTTGAGAGAATTCAGTGCAACACATACACCAGTGTGCAGATGATACAGTATTATCAGATGAAGATGAATGAATGACAAGTTCCAGAGTCTACTGGACATCTTGAGCGGCAATTTGAGAATGTTTGAGATGTGTTTCTCACTACCCTAATGCAAAATGTTGTTTTAAGATTGGTTTATTATCAGAAGCGAAGTGATTATGCGCATTGACAACTTCAGTTTATTGAAAAACCACATCAATCCTGATAGGTCAGTGACCGACGAAATCTAAATATAGGTGGAAAAAGCTTGCTCGGTCTTCGACCATTAATGTCAATTATGGCACTGCAGTGATGTCCGATTGCTTATTAAGGGTAGAGTGTATTACGTTGAAATTCTTTTGATTTCGCTAAACGGGTGTGATGAGGCTTAGCGTGTCGTTACAGCTGCCTTCATAAAATAAACCGACCAGAATCTTCCTTCAACGTCATTTATCGTGTTAGATGGAATAGTTCAAAAGAAGTACACCTTCGACAGTTGTGCACACTGGAGGCACTGGCGATTCATTAATTCAAGCCTGATCTCTGTATGCAATACAAGCATGTTCAATCTCTCATCTTACCATGGTCTTAATACTTTCATTTTTTCAATTTCATTACAATTAGTTAGTCTACTGTTATTATCACCTTCATTATGACTCTTGTCTCATTCTTCACCTTCCATCTATCAAATGGACACTCAATATTTGCGTTTCTTATCTACCAACAATTTTCACCTTGTCAGACTCCTTGCCTTCCTCGATATTTCTACTGTCCTAGATTATTACGCAACTACTTTGCATTCTTGATTCTGGTTTGTTTTAGCACTAGGTGGCTTAGTGATGTAATTATACCTTATTGTTTTATAATGGACTGTTATACATGTTTATGCTATATAATATAAACACGATTGTACAGCTGTAGAAGAAGGATATAGTCGAAAAAGAGAATTCTCTTCGCTGAATTATCTCTTCTCCATGATTCAATGAGCATGTTTCGCAGTCATTTCAATATCTTCGGAGGGCAAAATTGTGTGTGTGTGTGTTAACTATGCCTATGAGACATGATGTGTTATATGTGTCTTATGTTGAAAGCCTGAACAACTATTAGCATTCATTTACAGTTTTCTGCGTTTCTTAACTACTTTTTTTGTAGCGTTATTCACGTGCAGATAAACGTTTCAAACTACCCGGTTGGATACAATCACAACTACAAGATGCATTTGTCAATCTGTCCATTGAAGAAGCAGTTCAAGCATCACGTCGTTTCTTACGATTAATGGGTCAACCATTCAATAAAGAAGATCAATTAGGCTTAGCCTTGTTGACTCGTGAGCATATTGCTAAACTTGTTGCTCAGAATCAAACGGCTTCAGCTATTTCTAGTGGGAAAAGTTGCTTACAACAGGTGAATGATGATGACCCAGGTAGTTTAACGCAACAACCAAGGACTGTAACGACAGCATTTCGATAACAGATTTTCCTTTTTTGTTTTGTAATTTACCATGTACAGTATCTCTTCACCTGTAAATGAATAAGTTATCCTAACATTTGGTGCTTTTCATATATGCGTAAAGAAAGTTATCTGTTAAGAATGACTTGATTGGTCATAATGAGGAATGATCAATACAGGTTGATAGGTTAACTTGAGCGTGATTTATTGGTAATTCTGTCTGTGAGAATGTGTAGGACATATAAGTATACCAGATCCTATGTTGTCTGTCTCTTCGTCATCCTGTTGTCCAATGAACTCAGTGACCTAGTGTGGATTATGTGGCGTTTGAGTCCATGTCTTGCGGAAAACTGCTACTCAGCTGGTTGGTAATAAATAAGATCCTGGATTCCACTGCTCACCCCCGTCTAACAAATAACCAACTTCATGATGGAAACTGTTATCGTGCACTCACCCAATCGATATAGTGCCTGATCTGTGTAACGGTCAGTTGCCACACTTTAAGATGTGATGATGAAGTTTCATATCGTCATCAACCAACTGATTTACCTTTCTTGCTTAACCTCACCCCCCCCACCCCTAACTTCTGCGTCACTAGCGTTCGGACAGCTCTGTCAGATTAAGGCAAAGCTTTTCGAAGGTAAACAGACAAAACATTCCTTTTACACTTCGACTGGTTGTCCCAGTTAGACAAGAGCTACTCAAATAGACGGTTCTCTATTTACTTCAATTCGTTGTATTTAAATCAGATATAGACGTATCCTAAACTAACATCCAACTTACTAGACAGTCGTCAGAACACTGATGCTTTAAAGTCTTTCATATGGACAGCTTCACAAAGCTTATATGAGGAGTCAGAGTATAAAAGTATGAAAAAAACGAATATCAGGCACTGATAACAAGAAGCTTCATGTTGGTGGTCAGTTCTGTATATAGCATGCTAGTTAGTCATTTTTCGTCACGTGAACTACTCGGAAAAGCACTTCAGTGCCAACTAACTGAACACCAATCCACTTAGTGAAATGAGAGTCAGGAAGTGACTCGTCAAGTGCTCATGAAGTACCCTACTCAAAATACTTATTCACAAGAGGTGGCTATCGTGCCTGAGTGGATAACACTCTGATGTTTCAAACGAAGGGTACTGGGTTCGAGCCTCAGTGGAGACAAAACCACTCACTAGGGTGGAGGTATATCCGGCTGACGAGTCCCAAGTAGGACGAAACGCGCGTCTTGGATTCCTCTGATGGCCAACCGGGATCAATACTTATCTATAGCTTTTACTATAGGCGACGAAGACTTTCGAACTAGGCAGCTTCTTACGCTATGTTAGAAAGATATACCCAAATGGATGTTTTGTCTGTTTGAGGCTCGGTGTCATACAGCCTTCTTAGAACCTTGAGATCAAACTTTGTGTTTAGTTGGCAAATTCAGCACAAGACTACTGGGAAGAGAGGTGAGTGCTACAACTGGGTCGAATTTTTTCTCCCAACTAGGAAGCCAGTATCAACATGGATTACTGGTCATCCGTTGGAAACACCTTTACCGTTACACTCCTTCCAGTCAGCAGTAAAAATTCGTCCTTGGACCCTCATCATGTAAGCCATTTATGCTATCCAACAGATCTTTCCGGTATAGTAGGACCTTGGAGGAACAAATGTTTTCATCAGCATAGCTTATTATGATATGCAAGCTTGACCACTTCACCAAGGTAGCAACTGTTGGTCGGAAGGCAACAAGATACTAGTATATGGAATGCACATTAATACTTGTTGACTTTCTGATATCAGTACGGCCTTCGATTTTTCAGATAGTGTTGTTCTCTTCAATTGTCATTTAGCGAAGGTTATTTCCATAAAATTTACTGATATCTCAATAGCCTTATATAATTAACGACATTTTGAAGATAGTTTTAATGAGAAGTGTTTTATATACTATACGGAGAATTGTCCATCGAATACCAGCTATAGTAATGATGGGCAGTAGAATCCAGGATGCGCATTTCGTCCTATTTGGGACTCGTCAACTGGATGTACCTGCCTCCCAGTGAGTGATGTTGTTCTTACGGGACTCTGGAGCGATCGCTTCAAATGCCAGAACGTTACCCACTACACCACCGAGCCATTTCTTGTGAGACGGGTATAGGTTTAGTGTTATTGCAATAACACTAAATACCAGCTACTTACCTAAGAGTACGTAACTAACCGTGTAACAAATTCATCAGACTAATAGTTCACACACTCTTTGGAAAGCAGTTACGTTAGACAGAAAAAAAGACCAGATCAGTTGTAAGAAACCTGTTTGATACTGAGCACGATGTAGACGTTGCAAGAATCATTCAATCTATTCCGTTTCACTCTCATGCCCGATTCATTTGCAAACAGAACCTAATGCGTTTTTTTGCACTCGGTAATTCGGATAGCTTGTTGTCAAGGTAACCGCAGTGTTGCTCATGTATCGCTGTGTGAACAATGTCTAGGTTTGGTGAAGTGTGCTAGGCAAGTCAGTCAATGAAGTTTGGAAACTAAAGTGGTTTGGATATATGTATTACGCATGCCGAGTAACCACCACTGCCTAATTCAATTGGCAATATTAGCTAACATAGGATTACATTGGATGGCCAAACCAAGACGTCGAAACAGTCGATGAGGTATTTAACTATTTGTTTAACCTGTATAGGGATTGTGTCTCATAGGCTGACGTCCTCGAGATAAATAACTACAGACCATTAGTTATATGGCCAAAAACCGATCAAAATGGCGCAGATATATTCACTCTTTGAAAGTTGGAACATTTTCATTAAACTTCATTTTTCAGTCTTTCTCCTTCCATACACGTTTATCTACTTTAATTTCACTCCTTTTACTAACCAGATTGTTATTTATACGCTACTGTGAAGTGTAGCGACTTGAAACTATGCCCAACCATGTATACAACAGTAATCAAGTATCTAAAAGGATGATTTATAACCTGATTTAGAGGGTGATTACCACTGCAAAAACCACTGGTAGCAATATCTGAGGAAGACATTTCAACTGACCAACTTGCGAATTATCTTTTTCAATAGGCATCTGCCTCAGTAGTGCAACAAAAAGAAACTACCGTTACATCGCCTATTTCACTATACACTCATCAGTTTAATTGTTCCTGTGAAATGACTGTTTTACCAAACAGCTTACGATCCATGAACGACTAACTTATCCCAACTTTTTGTTCAAAGTAGTTTAAGAACTAATTCAGCACCAACTCAAGCAACCGCATCTACATCATATGTGTGTAGTAAATCACCGACTATTCAAAACACTACGGCAGTAATCCTTCTCCCATGTAAATTTCTTCAATCCCACCACGTTCCGCTTATTTAATTAGGGTTCCCAGTATTATTTCGTTGCTGGTCATAGCTTTCCTGTTGTTTAATAGTGACTGAGTAAACGTTCCAATGTCATGTTAGACATCATCATCATCAATGTTTCACAGGAGACATTCACACTTTGAGCTTTCCTCTCATTGCACTGTTTCAGTGTTATCTCGGACCAAAATGACCATGTCTTCAGATCCTTAATATTTTATTTGGGTTCGATTACAACGAAGAGTATGCAGCTGTGGTTTATTAGTTTAAGTAGTTGATTTCTAACCATTTGGGTTATGGGTTCAAACCCCACTTCATCAAACAAGGTTTGCGCAGTCAATTAATATCATTAACTCTCATACCAAATGGTGCAGCTCATCGTTTACTGCTTGAATGTATATGAAAAAGGGTGCTGGATGAATCGAGAAAAATTCTATTCTATTCTATTACTATAACTCATCGGTAATATACGATTGGCATACAGTCTTGATAAGCATATTGTCATTCAGTCAGATACACATGTTTATCAGTGGTTAACCACTGTTCACACTTTGTTTAAACTGCAGTCTTGTAATGAATACAGATAACTGTCTAACTCAGAAAATCAACGTAGAATCTCACAAACAGATGCATCAGTTCAAGTCAGCATATTTCATAAAGATTAGGTGGATAGAAAAAGAATGATACCAAAGGTTAATGGGAATAATCAAGTCGAAGAGTGAATTTATCTGCGGTATTATGACCATTTCTAGTTCTCAACTATTGATTGCTGTCATCTCAGAGATCCCAAGCCAGATAATCTACATCATCCACACAGCTCCAACCAATACTGAGAGACTTTATCGATTAGTGTCACATCTTGATTTAGTCATCATGAAGCTCTTCCAATCTAATTCAATTTCACTTAGCATTGCACGTTGAAATAGCCCAATAGCTCAGCATGGGTCCAAGTCAAATCAGTCGATGATGGTTGACAACTTCACATCAATCAACTTACCTAGTATCCCTTCATCTAGCAAACATCAACAATCCTATAAAGAAATCTATGTTGAGAAAATGCATAATCGCTTCACGATACAGACAATAAATTAAATATATACACATGTATGATTGTATATTTCGATTTTCCTGTTTATAACGGGATTCAATTTACGTACAATGATAAGTTTGGGAGAGTGAAACAAAAAAAACATAACTCACACATATAATAGATGAATGATAATATTTTTTTTTTTGGCAAGAACAAAGGGGAAAAACAAATAACACATGAGAACAAAACAAAAAACAAAAGATGATATAATAATAATCCATCTCCCAAGCATTAACCAATCAGATAAAAGGTGTTTAAAATCTCTTAGAAAAGAGACAATGATTGAAACTCTTATTAGTAAGAAAGAGAAACACGCATATACTATACACAAATGAATTAGTCTAGGAAGAGATAGGAGGCACTGACATCAATGAAGATGTCAGATTGTTGTAGATAATTCTTGCTTTCTTTCATATACTACTACTCTTAAACAACATTAAAGATGGTATACATTGATAAGAAGACAGGCAAATAGACATTTATATGAATATGCAGTGTAGGTTTTCTTATAGAGACTATAATATTGATTGGTAATAATATATTATAAGGGATAAAGATAACCCTTTAAAAAAAACACCAACAACAACAACATGAATAATATCGATTATTGATCACCATTTTTTCTTATAGTCATCTATACTGACACCACCTGGTCCATAGGCAACTACAAGGCCTAAACCTCCAATAACTGACCATGTTTGAAAAAAATCATATTTTAAAAAATCCCATAATAGGCTATCATTATTCACTGACCAAAATCGATTATAATAGAAATTCATACCAGTTAACCAAATCACTAAGACTGTTGCACATAATTTTGTCTTATAACCAATAGCCACCAATAGTATTAAAATAAGATTACCAATTGACTAAAAATGAATACAGAAATATGCATATATATATATATATATAATTATATTAATTAGATATAAACAAAAGTATAATAATACTGTATTGAATAGGTTTCTACATGTAGAATATACAGACTAAAATAGTCAATAACAATATAGGATCAGGCATTACTACGTAACGATCCGCAGTTACCACACCTCATATCACAACATTCAAGTAGAAAGGTAGTGAGGTGAAGGATGAAGATAAGAGACGGCAGTCAAAAGGAATATAAAGTATGAGAAGAAAGAAAACAAGAGTGACAAAATAGTGAGATTCGGTATAGTGTCGGTAGGATGACGATAATGTGTGTGGGGATACATCTATGTCACTCACATCGGTTCCCAACGATATCACCTAAAATCAGTCTCCAACCACTGGTTCCTCTTGTCCCGTGGACCCCAATCACACCTAGTCTACATCGCCCCACATGGTTCAAACCAACAGTCAGAGACCTCATACATTGGCCACCTCGGGCCTTTTTCCAGCCTCAAACTACTTCGGCCAACAATGTGTGACGAGGTAACCGGTGACTGGGCATACGTAGAACGTGTCCCAAACATCTCAATCAATGAAGGTTCACAACCTCGTCTACTGATTTACCTCTACTCCCTAAAACTCTACACCTAACTTCTGCATTACTCACGTGGTGTGGTGATACCACGGAATACGGTGGCCTATACTACGAAGGCAACGGTGGTCAAACACTTGAAGCCGCCTTCTCATATCTTCCACTTTCAATGGCCAACTCAGCGATGGACACAGACAGTAGACAACTACGATCTTTTCACGATGTCATATACACTGATTAGTCATCACTGGATAGTGATTGATTGACTACTCTAAGACTGGTGTTCAGCCATGACCCGTCTAACCACAGAGAATGAATTAGTCGAATGCATTGACTACTTCACTTAACTGGAAAGTCGGGTCAGCTCTAGTGAGTTGGTCAGTGGCCAATGAAATACAAAAGATTGGACCAGTTTTCGCTAACCTGTGCCATTTGTATCGATGACAACGATATTCAACTGCTTATTTTAAGGATCCAGTGTATTGGGTTGCAATTCGCTATATCCTAATGTATAACTATGAAACATGGTCATTTAAAGTAGAGGACATGAGCAGGCTTTGGGTGATTTCACCGTGTCCTGGTGTCACTATGTGACTAACCCAGAAATCAGGTGTACAGTTTTAGGAAGGAGAGGAAAGTCAGTTGATACGGTTATGAACCTTCATGGTTGATTGGGACATGTGTTACGTATGCCATGATCGTCTGCCTCATTACACAAAGTAACTTCAGGTTGGAAAAAGGCTGTGTGCGGCCAGACTAAAACATAGCATCACTGTATAAAGTCCTTGACTGCTTGTTTGAGGCATTTAAGCGATACAGACTGGCTGGTTAGGGTTCACGGGACAAGAGAAACCAGCTAGTGGCTTCATCTTTCATCTTACAATCTTGTTATTTGATGTGTTGATGAAATGGTACTATCACTCAGTAAAGCCTAGTCCTTATGTTGATAATGATTGGTTTCAGTTGTGTACTAGTGATTCTATGTAGTCCCAAGTCTGTCTATGAAATTCGCTTTCGTCATACACTTTAGAAGTTGTTGTGGTTGAAGGCAATCGAAAGGCAACCCTGAATATAAATCTTAAACTTGTTGGTGTATGTAAACAGAGAATGTGAACAGAAGTGCTAAAGTCAGAGACAGTCTCACTTTGCATGACAACTTCTTTCATATGATACAGTAACTATAATAAAATATATGTCTATCATGCCTTACTTTGTTAAACTAGTTGCCCATTTCTTATTTAAATTTATACATACATCAGTGTAATGTAACCTTTTCAGTTTTGTTGAATCACTGAACGACCACTTCTTTGTATAGTTTATTGTTCGCAGCTGTGCACCTCTTATTCATGAGATTTAACATTCGATTTTCAATCAATAAGGGGTATGGATTCGAACTCATACTGCTTAACTTGCACAGTTAGGTCGTATTTCATTAGCCGTCATACAACAGTTGTAGCTCATTTCCGAGTGTATGAACATCTTCATGGTTGTGAAAAGAGTTCATTTAGTAGTTTAATTAGAATCTATCTTATACCAGTGACTCGAATATTTCGAATAGTCTTGTTAGGTGAAGACGCTGACTGATGAGATACAGAGTCTTCTGAACACTTTGAGTGGGAATTTGAGAATGTTTGGGATGCGGTTCTCACCACACAAATGCAAATTTTTGCTCCAGGATTGGTCTTCAGCGGTACCGCGGTTAACAATAGAGAGTGAAGTGGTTGAGTGTGTTGACCACTTCACTTACCTGGGAAATAGGATCAACCCTGATGGCTCAGTGGGCGATGAGATCTATGCACGGATACAAAAGGCTCGATTGGCTTTCGCCAATTTACGCCACCTATGGTGCCACCGTGATATCCGTTTGTCTACTAAGGGTCACGTGTACTGCACAACAGTCCGCTCTGTTCTACTATATGGCTGTGAAACATGGCCATTGAAAGTGGAAGATATAAAAAGGCTTCAGGTGTTTGACCACCGTTGCCTTCGTAGTATAGGCCACCGTATTCCATGGTGTCACCACACAACGTGAGTAATGCAGAAGTCAGGTGTAGAGTTTTAGGGAGTAGAGGAAAATCAGTAGACGAGGTTATAAACCTTCATCGATTGAGATGGTTGGGACACGTACTACGTATGCCTACTCACCGATTGCCTCGTCACACAATGTTGGCCGAAGTAGGTTCAGGTTGGAAAAAGGCCCGAGGTGGCCAGACTAAAACATGGTACCAATGCATGAAGTCTTTGACTGCTGGTTTGAACCATGTGCAGCGATGTAGACTAGGTGTGGTTGGGGTCCACGGGAGAAGAGGAACTAGTGGTTGGAGACTGATTCTAGGTGATATGGTTGAGAACCGATGTGAGTGGCGCAGATGTATCCCCACACACGTTATCCTCATCTTAACGACGCTGTACCGAATCTCACTATTTTGTCACTCCTCTTTCCTTTCTTCTCATACTTTATATTTCTTTTGACTGCATTCACTTATCTTCATCCTTCGCCTCACTGCCTTTCTACTTGATGTAGTGATATGAGATGAGGTGTGGTAACTCGGATCGTTACGCAGTAATGCCTGGTCCTATGTTGATATTGATTGAATATTTCGAATTTGTGAACCACATACACTCTAGGGAACACTGCTTTACTGATGGACATCACTCAACAACTATATACATGTTTATGCACTCTAGGTAGTGAGTCACATATATTATGTGTGAAGGCCAAACATACTGACTGAATAGCTAATTAAACCTAGGCAAGTTGGGCAGGGTGTAAACGAATGGAGTCACGCATTTTTCATGATCTCAATGCTTCGTAGACTTTCTTGTAACTCCCAGTTGCATTTTTAGATATGAGGGTCAAGATGAAGATGGTGTATGTGTACATCTACGCCAGTGGGATCGATTCTAAGCCGTACTATTAACAGCTATCATACAGACCGTAATCAGGAACTCTACATTCCTCTACGCGATTGCAAACAATAATGATACGATTCATGACCTGATGTCATGATTTAGTCTGCCCACTTCTAATATATTTTTATTGTAATCCTACTTCAGTTAACATTCTGCGATTGGGTACACGATGGCTAGGGACTTGTGTAACAATACATTATCCCACGCATCCAAGTTGATGAAGGCCTATTCGTCAATGACTGGAATAGTTGAACTACGATTCACTTTTATAAACCTCTTAAGTTCTAGGCACATAAAAGGATAACGTTGCAAATGTTATACGCACAAATATGTAATAGATGATTACTTTATCTGAAGGACAGCACGCAGCTCATTCTCCCATTAGTGAGAACCCATAGTCAATAGGCGGTGATAATCCATCTTGAACAAGAATGAACCAAGAAGGTGATGATAGCCTAAAACATGATTGTGCTTGTACAGTCAGTGGGAAAGAGAAAGCAACGATTAGCTTTGACTGAGTTTCGGTAATGAGAAGTGCGCAACACAGCTCTCTCTCTCTCTGGGATCGCTGTTAATATTCACTTACTGAGCTAGGGATCCAGTAGTTAATAATTTCAAAGTCCTATAAGATACTGACACACCACAAGCATCATGTTTTCTGTCAGAAACTGATTTTAACGAGTACCTATCGAATTTTATAGGGTAGATACACATACCCACGAAGTTAAGCAAACAGAGGCCATCAGAACAGATGTGATGTCGACAAATGACACTCATTGACGGTTACAAACTATACCATGAACCAAGGTGGAGAATGTAAACGGTTAAAACCTGACTCAATCTAGTCTGTGGTCTTCGATGAACACTTTTGAAAAGTTCGAGAACAGGTAAACTTAATGTGAATAAATATTCCCACAACCTGATGAAATGGTCTAGATGTTCATTCTACCTCTTTCGTTATCGAAGCCTAAAACAGAGACAACGGGGTTCGAACCAGAGATATACTACTCAAATAGATAATGATCAAAAATTGTTTCGCAGTTTTTATAAGCTCATCAAAGGATTTCTCCAGTGACTACAGTATCAATAAGTAATAATAGTAATACAGAGTTTGAAAGTAGTTTTCATGACGGAATGATAATATTACTCGTCTATGTGATCCCTTGAGCAAGGAGGATCGTTGTTAATCTGTGGTGGAGGTGCATCAATCTGCATAACTAAACCACCACCACCACTACACCATGAATTAAAGGAGTTAATCCAGCTTAGTAATAGAAAGTGAAAACAGTAACAAAAAACAACAGGAAAAAAATACTCACCTGTATAATATAGAATAGACTACTTCCCAAATGGATAAGTGTTACAAACATTAAAATGATTAGTATACGTCCACCGAGTAGAATATACTGTCGTTGAGTATTTTCACCAGATGATGGTAGACCAGCTAATAAACTACGTGTTTCTTGTTGTACTTCAGCGAGTAATAACAGTAAACTTCCGATAAGCGATAGATTACGCATAAAGAATACTTGGGTCCATATATTATAGCCTATAGTCTATATTATTGTGATTATTTTGAAAAAAAAACATGTATATGAAAAATAATAATAATAATGATAATAAAAAAAGTTTCTTCGTATTTTTCACTGGTAGTTCATCGATAAGATTGAAATACATTCAATAATATTGCACAAGAGGTAACTATCATGCCTTCATAGCCTTGGAGTTTGAAGCGATCAGTACAAGGTTTGATTGTCGATGGGAACAATATCTATCATTCACTGGAGTGCCTCGATATCCAGCTAACCAGTCCCAAATAGGAGGAAATGCACATCTTGGATTTCTCTATTGGTCACTAAGATCAATATAACTTTGTTCACGTTCGGGAAATAGTAGGCAATGAGCCACACATCTGCTTAAACCTTAGTAGGTGGAACGGAGTTCGAATCTATGATCTATTTGGTTGAAAATCAACTGCCTCAACCAACAAGCAATAGCCCTATGAGGTCGACAAGTCTTTGATAATATCTGTGAAAAACTTCTATCTTGTATGAACAAAGAGTTTCAACAGCATTTTGCATTTAATTGTTCTTATTCGCAACTACTGTCTGTATTCAGTAAATTAAGTACTTCAGTACATTTCACTTTCTTCATATACACACCACCAGGACAGAATAGTGTTTTCTTATGCTAAGATTAGCTACACAGGAGTAGGGGATAAAAATCACTCATGCTGTATATTCCATCCTTACATAATATGCCTCACCTTCCCCCCCCCGCTCTAAGATGATAATAATCCTTGATATGAGTAAAACCCATGGGGCGGGGGGGGGATAAGCTGGAATGTAATTCCATTTCAGATGCACTACACATGGATTGTCTTTCGGATACAATTTTGTTGTCCAGTTGATATGTTCAAAATACAACCCAATAAATAATACTACTTTACTGCATGGATACATACATCAAATGAAACGCTGATCACTGTCATCAAATCTACTACCCTTGGTACAATATAACACAAAATGCAAACTACTAACAAACATGCTACAACAAATGTTTCATATTACACATGTAAAACAGGAAGGTAAGTGGAAATATTATAAAGGAGACTTCTCGGAATGTATCTTTGTATGACAACCGATCGGTTATTCGTACACAAACACATACACATATTCCCTCTATCGTCTTAGCCATCCGCTTAACACATCAGTATATCATTTTGGATGGGCCTAATGCACAATTTATAATCTCCTAATCATTGAAATGTTAATCACAGTGAATTCAACCTTACAATCATTCGACATATTCAACCATCTCTAGAAGTACGCCAAAATGTAAAATAAGTTTCAGGTAGTACTTCTACTCATAACACTACGATAACTGATTTTTCACAATAATTCCAACCGTTAGGACACTTTATATGGATCAATTGTTCACTATGAAAAGATCTACCACCGAAATGAACAGTAATGGGAAAAAGGTGGATTGAAACATGATACCATTCTACAAGATATAAAGTCACATTGTGTGTGTGTGTGTGTGAGCATCCATGGTAATAACAGTTTCTACTTTGGTTGGTCTCAAAAGAATCCTATACTTGCTGACTGGCGAATTCAACATGAGACTATGCACACAGGTGCAATAGCTCAAGCTGCCATACTTCACAGGAGTACACAAAGAACAGGTGGACAGAAAAGGAGTGATAGCAATGTAGATCACGTAGTGTAGGAGAATAAACAATATGAGGATGAAGATAAGTGCAAATATTCAAGCTCTAAATGACATCAAGGAGTGAATATATATGCGCCATTGTGACTGGTTTTCAGCCATGTCGACCAAGATTCCTTTCGTCTCGGGGACCCCGATCGGGCAGTCCACACCGCCCCACACGACTCAGACCAACAGTGACAGGCTTTATCAACGGATGCCATACCTTGGTTTGATCATCCTAAACGTAATTGGCTGTCTCGTCAGTAGCTAGGGTAGTCTTTAAAGTTAGCCGCACATCGTAATTACTCCTCCCTATGTTTGTGTAAAGAAGACAAAGTTCACGTAATAACGTATAAACGATTGCATCATATACCACTGTGTTTATCAGTTTACACTTATGTGGGTGTATGTCACCACATACATAGAGAGGAGTAATAGCGATATATGCAATTAAAGATGGTTGGGCATTGCTTCAAAAACGCATGATTTCAACAGAGTAGATAAATGCAGGTGAAAAACCTCCATCTTAATCTAACGTTAAACAAACAACACCAACTAGTCATATAGTAGACATGAAAACACTTTGTAGAGTAAAGATGATCACGGTCGAGTGCTCAAACTTTATGAAAGTTCTTGTCATATTGTTAATTCAAAGCCAAGTTTGTTTGAATTCATAACAGTTTGATAGGGAATGAAAATCTGGTTAACAAACGCTTTTTCTGTTCACCCATGCTTTGATATTATAGCTCAGAATACTTTATCACATCTAAGTCAGAGAATTCATTATAACAAAATATCCACGTTCAAATTTGTTCAGTAAGTGATAAGGTACACTCTAATTGCATGAGAATTCTACCTGGTTGCCCTCACCCAGTTAGGTGGAGTAAGGATAGAACGCATGACCTAATTCACTCTGTCAGGTCACCAGTAAACACTACGGAGAATGCTCCTAGATACGCGTAAACGACTAAAATATTGACGTATGTATTTCAGCGACTCAATCAATCAATATCACTATAGGTCCAGGCATTACTGCGTAACGATACGAGTTACCACACCTCATCTCATATCACTACATCAAGTAAAAAGGTAGTGAGGTGAAGGATGAAGATAATAGAAGGCAGTCAAAAGAAATATAAAGTACGAGAAGAAAGAAAGGAGGAGTGACAAAATGGTGAGACTCGGTATAGCGTTGTTAAGATGAGGATAATGTGTGTGGGGATACATCTGTGCCACTCACATCGGTTCTCAGCCATGATACATCACCTAGAGTCTGTTTCCAACCACTGGTTCCTCTTCTCCCGTGGACTCCAAACATCTAGTCTGCATCGTCCCACATGGTTCAAACCAATAGTCACAGACTTCATACATTGGCCACCTCGGGCCTTTTTCCAGCCTCAACCTACTTCGGTCAACATTGTGTGACGAGATAACCGGTGACTGGGCATACGTAGTACGTGTCCCAACCATCTCAGTCGATGAAGGTTCACAACCTCGTCTACTGATTTACCTCTACTCCCTAAAACTCTACACCTGACTTCTGCATTACTCACGTGATGTGGTGACACCACGGAATACGGTGGCCTATACTACGAAGGCAACGGTGGTCAAACACTTGAAGCCTTTTCATATCTTCCACTTTCAATGGCCATGTTTCACAGCTACACAGTAGAACAGAGCGGACTGCTGTGCAGTACACGCGACCCTTAGTAGACAAACGGATATCACGGCGGCGCCATACGTAGCGTAAATTGGCGAAAGCCAATCGAACCTTTTGTATCCGTGCACAGATTTCATTGGCAACTGACCAACCCACCAGGGTTGATCCCACTTCCCAGGTAAGTGAAGTGGTCAACACATTCAACTACGACACTCACTCTCTATTGTTAACCGCAGTCCCGCTGAAGACCAATCCTGGAGCAAAAATTTGCATTTGTGTGGTGAGAACCGCATCTCAAACATTCTCAAATTCCCACTCAAAGTGTTCAGAAGACTCTGCATGTCATCAGTCAGCGTCTTCACTTAACAGGACAATGTCATCTGCATATTCTAAATTAAACGAAAATTCTCCTGTGATTAGGTCAACGTCTGTGTAATTAGGTGACAAGAGGGAAACCTCCATGAGAATATCTATGATAAAATTAAGTAAGAATGGAGACAGTGGGCATCCTTGGCTGACACCATTCGATGAGTTAATCATGATATTGTTGAATGTTAACCGCTTAGACCGGTGGTGTGGAATGAGCCATGATATCCTTCTACAACAATCAAACACTATATGTCTACATACCAATTAAAAATGCATAAATATATTACAGACTAACTTGGATTAACACAGTCATCATGAGAATTCCAACACCGATTTTCACATGATACCGACTTAGAACAAGGCTACTTCCAATAAATTGTGTACAGATGTTTAATAGAATAAAAAATGCTGCCAATATGACAGGAATACCCATACAGACTGAATATATTCTACTTGATCAGACCATTGAGTTAACAGTCGAAATCCATCTTCAATAAATGTTGATACAAGGCAGAATCTTGCAACATGCGGTAGATAACGTCGGCTTTTGCGTACCAACTATGCATAAAAAGTAGAAAACAAAAACAAAATGTACACATTTGATAGTATGGAATAACACTTTTTTTAACGTATAGGATGAAGGCCAATATTGGTATTGGTGCACTACAATTAGTTGTCATGATAGGTTCCAATCAAACTTTCAAGGATAAAGATCGGAGAACCATTGAAAACCTAACAGTACTGGTCGTCACACAATGTTGGCTGAGGTGGATCCAGGCTGGAAAAAGGCACGATACGGCCAGACTGAATCATGGCACCAATGTATGTAAGCCATGTAGGATGATGCAGACTAGGTGGTTGGGGTTGGCGGGATAAGAGGAACCAGTGGTTAGAGACTGACTCTAGGTGATGTATCATGGCTGAGAACCGATGTCAGTGACACAGATGTATCCCCACACACATTATCCTCATCTTAACTACACTATGCCGAATCTTACCATTTTGTCATTCCTCTTTCCTTTCTTCTCGTACTTTATATTTCTTTTGACTGCATTCACTTATCTTCATCCTTCACCTCACTACCTTTCTACTTGATGTAGTGATATGAGATGAGGTGTGGCAACTCGGACCGTTACGCAGTAATGCCTGGTCCTATGTTGATAATGATGATGATAACAGTACTGGACATCCTAGTTCACGACTCCTCAAGTAATGTGCATTATTGTCCTCGGATGAGATCAGATCTACGACTATCAGGTCTCGAACCCAGCACCTTGCCATTCAGACATCAAGTTAGAGTTCAGTGGTATACTA